TTCGGTATTGAAGGGCTCCGATAGGTCCTTTCCTATTTTAACTGCTGACCTTGTGCCACTTAAGGGGACCCCCCCATTCTCGGGGTCAAAATATTTTTAGATTTAATTTGATTCTACACTAATTCAAGAATGTCGCTACCAAATTTCAAGAGAAAATCTCAAGAACTCTTAAAAATATAGCCGATTTATTGTGTCAGCAATTTGATTCTACACTAATTCAAGAATGTCCCTACCAAATTTCAAGAGAAAATCTCAAGAACTCTTAAAAATATAGCCGATTTATTGTGTCAGCATCAAGTGACGGCTAAAGGGCTTCTCAAACTTTAAACGCGTTTTCTCTTTTGCGAATGGCGGGAACGATAACTCAAAAACTAATAACCCAATCGATTCCAAATTTTTACACGTTTCTCTGTGAGTGTATAGCTATTGTATGAACTAGGATAAAGCCAATCGGTGAAAATCTTCCTTATTTTTTAACTTGGTTTTTGGTCAAAAATTGGCGATTTTTCAAAAATATTTTTTTAAAGGTCCGCCATTTTGTTAATTTTAGAGCGAAGTCAATAATCCTAGTTCATACGAGAGCCAGACATGTACTCTTTCTAACACCGTTGGAATTTTCGGATTCCGATGTTCCAGTGAGGAGTTATCATGCCCGCCATCAAAAATAAGGACTTTTCTTTAATTACAAAAAACAACAACAAAACAATAACAAACATTTTTTGTAAATTATTTTTCTTCTCTTTAAAATCTTGAAATATATATGTGAAAAGTTACAAACCTTTACAAGCATTGGTATTGATTTACCAGCCCTTGAAAAATTGAAAAATTAAAATCGAGAATGGGTGGGGTTCCCTTAAAGTTATCCTGCATAGCGGTATTAATTTTGCAGGAATGCCGAACGTAGACATGGCTTTAAACACCTCTGAACGGATAGGGCTGTCCAATGCGGCTTTATAGTCAACAAATGGGTGGTATGTGTCGATGTGTTTTTCGTGAATCTTTTCCAGGATTTGGCGCAGAGTGAAAATCTGGTTAATGGTGGATTTGCACAGGTCTGAAGCCACATTGGCATGGTCCAATAATGTCATTGACCATTGGCTTCAGTCGTTCACAAAGCACACTGGATAGCACTTTATATGCGATGGGAAGGACACTTATTCCTCTATAGTTGGCACATATCGTCTTGTCTCCTTTTTTGTGCACGGTACACAGGATGCTGAGGTTCCAATCATTGGGCATGCATCTTCTAGCCAAATTGTACTAATCAGTCGATACTAAAAAGTCGACTTTTCGATCTTGTCGATTTTCGACTTTTACTGACTTCAGCAAAATCGACTAAAATTTATTTTTTTATGAATTATTGTTAACAGATAATGTAAAGTTCCGGAAAGTGCAATTTTTGGACAATTTGAAAAGTCGACTTTACGATTTCCTCATAGGTCAAAAGTCGACTTCGACTTTTAGACTTTTCAATACAAAATGTGATTAATCGATTAGTCGAACGTCGATTTACTTATCCCTAGTCTTGAATAGTTCGGCTGGTAACCCATCGGCTCCTGCTGATTTATTGTTCTTGAGCCGATTAATTGCTTTTATGACCTCATCTTGGCTAGTTGGTATACACTCTATACCATCACCTCTTATTGGTTCGGCGGTATCTTCTTCAACGCCACTATTTGATACCAGAAGCTTTTCAAAATGCTCCTTCCAGATCCTCAACACGCTGTCTGTATCTGTCACCATGTTTCCTTCTTCATCTGTACAGGAGGATGCGCCTGCACCAAAAGCCTTCGGTTTGGTGTTTTACTCGTTGGTCAAATTTCCGGACTTCATTCTGACTCCAGTACATCTCGATTTGATCACGTTGACGTTTTTCATGTTCTTTCTTCTTTTTTCTGAAAATACGTTTCTCCTCTCTCCTTTCCCCGATAATTCTCCATCACAGTAATAAATTACTAACTATTTTTGATAAACAAACATTTGCATTTTTATACTTTTACACTAAACTTGCGTTCTTCAAATGATGATGAATTTACTATATACATGATTCTATTACGTTCGTTGTGTAAATAAAATTGTATTCAAACTAAAGTGCAATCCTCTATTCGCCTAATTTAATTAAAAAAATTGAAAATATTTTATGTAAAATATTACTTTTAAAAATAACACAATATATCAACAAACGCACAAATAAACATTGTTTTAAATTTTAAAAGTGATTTTAACACGTTTCAATCATTATATTGATTTAAAATATTTGAACTTTTAATTTGCGCTTGTCTTACGAAAACAACATGCAGATGCTTCAATTCACTGCTACTTCAATAAAATAAATTTGTCTGCATCGACATTTTAAATAATGACAGAAGTAATCAATCAAAATGCGATGTTCGTCAGACATTAATTATGATAAATACATAGGGTGGTTATTATTATAAGTTTGTATTATCCCACTGATGACAAAGATGTATAAAGTCAAATAATTTGTAGTTGTTTGTAGTTTTAAATTAAACATAAGAATCCCAAATAATGTTAATAATTTTTATATAAACACATATTTATTATTAGCAAGCTATCTTGGATGCTTAATAGTATTTGTTTGTATACACTGTATCGAATTAAAGCCATGCATTTGTAACAATCTAGCATTTCCTAAATTTCGAAACTCTATCTCCAACAATTAATTTACAAATTCTCAATTAACAGTTTTAATAATCCCCCGTCGAATCTGATATGATCAATTTGAAAATGAAAAATTACAACTACGTCAGTAAGCCACGAGCGGTTGCGGGAGTTAATTAGCGAAGAAAATACAGAGAAGTTCATTTGCACATCACTACCACCCGTATATGGATCAAAACAAAGCATACACACACTTTATAGCCGTTATAAGTGGATTTGTTGTCCAGATGCCGGTTATATTGTTTAATTTTATTGATTATTTAAAACGGGGATTTTTGTTCGTTAATTATTAGTTGATTCATCTGCTTCCAAATATATTTAGAAGTGTTTATATATAACTCAGTTTTATAGTTCTGTTTACTTTAAACCATAATAGAAAAAAATAGTTTACGCTTTCATGACGTATTTAACATCGATGAAGATTTGTTTAATTAGTTTCCTAATCAAACCTATTTTTCAACAAAATATTTCTGAAACACCAATGAAGCTTTGCTGAAGACATATTTCTGTATCTATGTCCGAATTTCCTGAAATATTTATAATTTACGTAAATTGTGTTATTTAGGTTAATATAAACATGTGATCTTTTGAAACAACTAAAATCTATTTTTAGGCTTATTTTTCACACAACACTAAATATAACCAAAGTGTAAAAGTAAATGAAATTTCTCGCAAATACAGACATAAATCGGATAACATTCAATAATTAACAAAAATAAAAATATTTTTAAATCAATAATGTTTAGGATTTTTTTAAGAAGTCTAGCATAATTCAGTTAAACGACATTTTTGCAGGGAGTGTTTGTTGTTAAAAAATTAAATAAATCATAGCCAATTTTTATTCAACGGTGAAATAAATATTGTCATAGTTGTACAGTTGTACACAACATACATAGTTATTTTCACAAAATTTCTACTTTCTCATTTGACAAAAAAAATTTTGACAGCCAAGTTGATAGTCACCAAGGCCAAATTATAAGGTCATCCAGAAGGCGCATACCTACAAAATTACAACCCTACATCCACATTTATTGTTAAACGGTATAGAGAGAGCATTTGACAATTAAATCAGAATCAGAACAAATTTTTTTTAAAACAGATGATAATTTTGTAATTTTGAAATGAAAGCTTTCACATGCGATCCTCCCTCAATTTATTTTTTAAAATAGGTTGACTTAAAAGTAAACTATGGTGAATTATTGCAGCCTGAAAGTATGCTATATATTTTACAATAAAATTGCAAAGTCTAGTCTTGCAAAGCACACACATACTAATCCCGAAAATACGTACTTTAAGGGGACCCCCCATTCTCAGTTTCAAAACATGTATTTTTGTATTTTGATTTAATTCGAATCTACACTAATTCAAGAATGTCCCTATGAAATTTCAAGTGAAAATCTCAACAACTCTTGAAGATATAACCGATTTATTGTGCCGGCAAACTTCTCAAACTTTAAACGCATTTTTCTCCAAACAGCGTTTTTGCGAATGGTGGGCACAATAACTCAAAAACTAATAATCCGATAGATTCCAAATTTTGGGACGTTTCTCTTTGAGTGTATAGCTATCGTATGAACTAGGATAAATCCAGGCGGTCAAGATCTTCCTTATTTTTCAACTTGGTTTGTGGCAAAGATCCGCCATTTTGTTGATTTTTGAGCGAAGTCAATAATCCTAGTTCATACGAAAGCCAGACTAGGGTTACGTAGTCGAGCGCAAAAGTCGACTTTTACACTTTTCGATTTTTGCCTCTGACCAAAAAATAGATTTATAGACTTTTCGATTTTTGCCTCTGACTAAAAAGTCGACATTTCGATTTTGTTAAAACTGTTCAAAATCCATTTTTGACTTTTACTGAAAAATCGACTAAAAATTGGATTTTTTATATGAACAGATAAATTAGAGTTCCGAAGAGTGCAATTTTTGGACAAATTTATCTTTGTGATAAAAAAAACAAGTATTTATGAAGAAAATCGAAAGTCGATCTTGAAAATTCGACTTTACGATTTTCTCATAGATCAAAAGTCGACTTCGACTCTTAGACTATTCAATACAAAAAGTCGATGTTCCAGTGAGGAGTTATCATGCCCTCCATCAAAAGTAAGGACTTTTCTTTAATCCCATAAAACAATGACAACAAATTTTTGTAAATTATTTTTCTTTAAATCTTCAAATATATATCTGCAAAGTTACAAAGCTGTGCATTTTTAATTCTCACTGGATAATTGATTATATTGTAGTATTAACAATCTTATCTTTAACACATTTTTTTATTTAATTGATTTTAATTTATAGATATTATTAAATTTTCATTTCAGACTCCATGCTGCAACAAATTCTACAAATGTCGATTTTGTCACGATGAAAATGAATCTCACCATTTCGACAGAAAAACTCTTACAGAACTGATATGCACTGAGTGCAATACACGACAAAAGGTTCAAGATCGATGTCAAAGTTGTGGAATACGTTTTGGAAAGGTATGTTCAGCTTAAGAAAGGTGAACAAATTGCATTCATAACACATGTACCCCCATAAGATATTTCTCAGGCGGAATTTATTAAATATGATTTCGAAGCATCGATACAAATTACATTTGGCTAAATAAAGTGTACATAAAGTATTCTAGACATATAGATAATTCAATGAATCATCCCTTTTATACTCTACATATACTAAAATATATTAATTTTTATTTACAGTACACCTGTCTGATTTGCAATTTATTTGATGATTCCGATAAACAACAATACCATTGTAGGCGGTGCGGCATTTGTCGCATTGGTGGCAGAGATAATTTCTTTCATTGTGAAGTCTGCGATATGTGTTTACCAATACAATTGAAAATTGCAGGTCATAGGGTAAGTTTTTTTAAATTGCCATCAAATACAAAAAAAAAATAATAATACTAAAATTTTATTTTAGTGTGTGGAAAACATATCGCGATCCCATTGTCCTGTCTGTCTGGGAGACATTCATACCTCACGTATTCCATGTCATATTCCCGATTGTGGCCATTTATTGCATAAATTATGTTTTGACCAATTACTGGCTTCGGGTCATTATACATGCCCCACGTGTCAGACATCGCTAATTGATATGACAGCATTGTGGGAATATTTAGATGCTCAGGCTGAATTGATGCCGATACCAAAAAAATATGAAAATCAAAAAATTCATATATTTTGCAATGATTGCCATAAGGTAAATATGCTATACATTTTTATACATAAACATGTATTTGACTTTATTTTTCTTTATAGACTTCGAAGACAAAATTTCATTACATTGGCTTAAAATGTGTACATTGTGGAGCCTATAATACCACACAGAATGTCAAGAGACGTATGTCTTTGGTAACAGGTAACAATTAACTGTTATTAATTAACTGCAAAGCAAGTTAAAAAATATTTGTTTATATTTAATAGATGAGCCCACATCAGCATGACATCTGATAAATAATATGCGTTACATATGTTTCTACTAATTTATAAAGAAGATTTATGACATTTTCAATGCAGTGTTTGTTTGTAATGGAGAAACTAACATTTTTGAAGCACCTTGCAAGGTGGTATTGATGGAGATGACGTCTTTCTAAGGCTTGCCGTTTTATGATGGAATTATTATCATCATCTTTGGTATAGAATTTAAATTATAATAACTATCGTATTTTATATGTTTGAACTATTTTCACTTTTATTCTCCTATTATATATTTGCATTTACATTTCATTTGAATTATAAACTGATAATTCGAGCTGGTATCGAATATTTATATAGCTGTGTTCAAACCTAAACACAACAAAATAACAAAAAGTATTTAATGACACCCTTATGGCATACACTTTTATGAATTTATCTTATTTCTAATTCATAAGCCTTATTATAATATTACAATAGCGAATATTAACATAAATGTAGTTACAATTTATTTTATTTGATTTATAGATTAGTGCCACTCTCTCTCTATCTATATATTTTTTTAATTTGAATAGATCAACTCTCAAAGTATTGTATTTATTGTAGAAGTATTTCTTGTTTTCTCAATAAAAAATAGCAGACAAGAAAAAAATTTAAAAAATAAAAATAATTATTTTACATAGAAAAATCAATTTACTTATTTAATTTCGATCAGGGCATTCATGTTACTTAGCAAAGTCTATTTAGACGTTCAAATGAGACGAAAAGGAAGGTTGTGAACAAATGTAGGCTCTATCATATATCAATACTATCGTTTCCCGTGTTGTATACAATCCTTCGAACTACTGTCGCCGCAATCAAAAAACTTTACAAACCTTCCAACATCAAAATGCGGCTAGAGTCTTTAGAATATCTAAAATTGAACGGACGATATGGGTTCTAGAAGACAACTAATTTTGTTAAAAAGTTCCAGCGTTACAGGGCTGTGTCAAAAGGTGGACATTTTTGCAACTTAGCCTTTTACACACTGAAACCAGCTAACTTCTGTAATGTCAATGATAGGTACAATTTGCAACGTCAAATTAAAGCGAAATCAGGAGGATATTCCATTTAAAATGTGTTTGAAAATAAAGTTGAGTTTGACTATGTACCAACGGCTTAAACCACCGAATTTTCGTATAACAGAATTTAGAACCGTTTTTTATAAAATGGGGCCCGCGAAAATAACTGTTAAGACAACTATTTTGGTAAAGTAAGGTGGGGATTATAGAGTTCAGAAAAAAAGATTTTATTACGGCTCTAATACTTCAATAGCTTCTTCATATACATTTACTAATACTTTTTATTTTTGACAGTTTATCATATTTTTAGAGATGAAAATTCAATGACCCATTTTGCGATAACTATAAATAGCACAGACAAATTCACCATTTTTGCCCCCTAAAGATGCGAAAAATGGTGAACCATCGGCCCTATCAATCTTTATGCAGGTACATTTAATATTTAGGAGTAATATTGTAAAAATAACTATATCCACCCATCTCAAAAGGGCGAGATAGTTTATGTTCATTGAGGAATATTTGAAGATAGTGCCTCCTATATTTCGAAACCACGGAACCATTAATACATATCAAGCCCACTAGTGACGCCATGGCTTCGCCTGGCTCTTCCTGGCAAAGTTCGTCAAAAAAGGGGAAGTCATTTACCTTTTCCTTCAATGATCATTGGCCCGAACTTATGTAAGCTTTATGTTAGCTTTGATTGTCACCTTTGCCGATGTTAAGTGGAATTTTTGTCTTTGACAAAGTTTACGATTTCATCGCCTTGAACTCAGCACATTGAACCAAAAGCTTTAGGCGTACTGTCCCTTTTTTCTGCAATGTCCCATTTTTTCAATTCACACAGCCAAACGTGAATTCATGTTTCATTTCAACCTTTCTGGTAGCAGTTCAGCTACTATTTTTGGCTTACGAATCCCTGATTGGAATACTTGGACTGAGGAATGGCATTCCACCATTGGATACATGTCCATGAAGCTGAAAAAAATATTGTGACAGCAGATCTTCTACAAACACTTTATTTCATTTTTATAGCCGCTTTCATTTGGATGGATTTTTTGCAGTGTCTTGCCAACCTCCCCATGTCTTGGCTAATGGCATTAAACTCAGCCAACTGGGTAGGATTCTGCTTTTCAACAGCAGGTAGAGCGCCTTAATGCTGATAATTGGCAGCTTCCAATTTCATTGACTGGTACGGCTAGTCATCGTGGTCGCCTCTGCGATGCGTACGCTTTGCCACCGTATCGGAGACACACTCTATTTCGTTGACTTGGCTAACAGTATTAGACTATTCGGCAACCACCACCATTGTGGCTTTAGTGTCGTTGGCAACCATGTTGCCAACCATTAACATGCCGTCGATAAAGTTCTTCTGTAAAAGTACTGACGGCAAATCTTTCTTTGCTTTACCCAACAGTTATTCGGCCTGTTCCCGTACTGCAAGAATGTACGTACGAATTTTTACTATTATGTTGGATATCATAAAAGAAAAATTGTCGACAAATAGGCCAAAACATTTGTGTGAAAAACTACAAAATGTACTCAGTAAAACGTAGACGGGGAAAGGGAACAGTATGTCCAAGTGGAGGTTGACCTATAATTTAAAATAATATTGATGTATATTCTCGGATTTGGGAAGTAGTGACCTTTTTTCGCAATATCCAACATAGCACCGATCATTATACCACTTAAAAACAGCAAATACAAATGTATCAGTCCGTATTGCCGAAAGATACATTCCCTCATCCTATATTATGCGGAGATATACGGAACTACTCCCGTCGAGGAGGAGCACTTTTTTAATAAATTTGTAATTTTGCAAAATTGTGACTGGGGGCGTTACCACAGATGATTGACCTATAGAGCCTATAATTGATCTTAATATTTATTTAGTACAAATGATAATAGATACAGACCTATCTATTTATCAAAGACTTGACCATCTGTGGGTAGGTACCAGAAGAAGTTGCCATATATTCGAATTTAATGTAGGGTTGGTAAAATATTACGAGTGCAATCAAGGGATCAATTCATATGCTAACCATTTGTTAGTCCCATCTTGGACTTGATCTAGACAATATAAATATTAGGTTGTGCAGAGTTTTGCTCACAACGGGTTGTCATTTGCATGATATGATAAAACTAATTTTTAGCATAATTTTTTACCATTTTGTGGAGGAGTGGTCCGATCTTCCCCATCTCCGACTTGATATTTTCATGCTGCAAAAGATTGTAATTTTCAGAATTTGAAAAATGAAGAGAATAAAGACCCTCAATTTTAATATATAACTTCATGGTATACTTCTTCAACTCTAGAATTTTTGGGCATAAATAGTAAATTGTTTTTTAAACAAAACTAATGTCATATATTTTTAGATTGTTGCATTACATATCATGAATTATTAATGTTTTTTTAAGATTCTCATGAGCGTGCGAATATGAATTTTGCATACTGTATGTAATTACATATTGTTTTATACATTGAAATGTTCGTATGTTTCACACAACGAGTTTGATTTTCTTATGTAGACGATATGACAGTGTAAAAGTAATCCGGACTGCATTTCACAACTCATTGCGTTGAGGATTTTGAGGAGTAACCATTTAAAGTTACACTCTATACAAAAATATAAAAACCCAATGCAAAAAATCTATATTATTACAGCTTCGAGAATTCAGGAATGCCATGTTATTTGGCATTGTATGAAATGTCAATTCCAACTTAACATGCCATGCGTCAAGTCCTGTTAAGTGGTTCGCCCTAAAATTCCGATGATGCCATCTACAGTACAATAGTCATAGTTCACTACACACATATCAAAGACACGATCCATATATAATGTTTTAGCTCTTCTATTTTGCTGTAGATGGCGCTTAGCATAACAGAAATTTTACAGACCTATGTTAAACATTATCTCATCTTAAACGTAAAAAAATAAAAAAACAAATGTTAACCTTAATTTCATCTTTACCATTTTATTGCTTTGGTCAGGGGGAAAAATAGGAAAATCAATAACCAAATTTGCCAGTTGCATATCTGCACACATGCCCAATAAGTATCTTAATTTCTGTTTGGTGTTGTGCCTCACTTTACATTTGAAACTACAATTTGTAATCATTCATAGAACAAGAAAACTAGTGGACCGATAATATTTAAAAAATTATTGTCCTGAAGGGAGATGAATGTCATAACAATTTAGAAGTGATAGGAAAAAGTAGCCCCGGAAAGGGCGATAGGTTTTGTCCAAACGCATTAAGTTCTAGCCAAACAAATCTAAAGAAAATTTTATACTCTCCTCGATAGTATGAAGGTTGTATTAATTGTGTTATTCTGTTTGTAACTTATAGAAATAATCATATCCATCCCTATAAATTATATAGCTATTCTTGATCAAGGTAAAATTCTAAGACGATCTAGTCATCTCTCCGTCTGTTGTAATCACGCTATCTTATGAAGGAATTGAGATAGGGTGCTGAAATTTTGCATAGAATGTTTTTTTTTGTCTGCAGGTCAAGTTCGAATATAGGCTACCTCGGTCTACGTTTAGGCATAGCCACCATATAAGGGTACAAATCACGTTTTTTTGAGTTATACCTCTCTTGCAGCAAATGAGCGATATATTCCTGATCAGCGTAAAATTCTATGGCGATTTAAGAATGCCCGTTTGGGGTTCTTGTACGCGTTTTCAACCAAATTTTTATACCCTTCACCACACTGTGGTACAGGGTATTAAACAGGCAAAAGGAAACGAGATAGACACATGGTTCCTTTTGAGAATATGCATAGAATCACTTTCTGAGTCGATTTATGCATGTCCGTCCGTCCATTTGTAGATGTTAAATTGTAAACAAAGTACAGGTCGCATTTATGATCCGATGTGGAAGAAATTTGGCAAGTCACTTATTTGGCCCAAGGACTAACCCTATTGAAATTGGTTAAAATCGGTTCAGATTTAACTCCCATATATTTTCGTCAGATATA